CCTGCCTGTTTTGCTGATCTTCCACGTTGATGGTGCTTTCAATCCTGCAGGAGGTGGGGGCTGGGTCAACCTTCCTTTCCCAGAGGTTCGATCTCCACCGGGGTAGAGGGCTCTATCTGGCTGTAAATAACCTCAGGTGCTTAACTCCCACCCTTTAGTTCCCAGCCCATTGCTCTCGAAGCAGACAGAGTCCTGAACTTTCTATTCTGCACAACCCCTGCCCTGCCAGCTGTGCCAGGGTGGAGCTGAGAAGTCTCCTTGTTGTGCACCTTTCTGACCTCTCTGGCCAGCTACACCGAGTGGGATGCGCAATCCATCCTCTCCCCTTGCTGGCAGGGCAGCTGGGGTTCCTGCCCAGGATGCTTTAGCTCCTCTATTTAAAAAAGTCCCTTTGGGCACTCCTGCTGCAGCACTTAGTTATTGTCCAGTTTTCCATGCACAACACCTCTCCAAAGAGCCAAGAATCTCTGACAGTCATAGCTGGCCATGGCTTGTCTCTGCCTGGCTCAGGTGCAGATAGAATCCCTCCCTCTCTCTGGTACTCTCCTGATTGGCATTTGCCACTGCAGCTATTGATGTGCTGCTCGCTGTGTGTGTGTAGCCTGGCTTCTGCCCGACTTTGTGTACCCAAGTCACTCCTGGCCCAGGTCTAGGGTTCCCTGCCCTTCAAGGGTAGGGAGCCACAAAGCTTCGATCTCTGACCAGGCTCTCCATGGCTGTAGGCACCAGCTGTATGCATGGGGTATTTCCCCTTCAACCTAAAAAATCTTCTTACTGCCTGTTGCGAAGCATCTTCTGTACTCCTTGGCTTCCAAACTTCAAATCAGCTAAGATTCTGTTGAATGTTCAATTTATGTTTCAGATAATCAGCCAAGTGTCCAAGTTGGGGGCAAAAGCAAGTTGGCTGCCATCTTTAACTCAATTTTTTCATTTTTAAAAAAATTGTTGTTTAGTTACAGTTATCCTAATATTTCCCCTGTTGCTCTCCCCTGCCCTTCCCAACCCAAACCCACTTCCTCAGTCAATCCCCACCCTTTTGTCTATGTCCATGGGTCCCTTATACTTGTTCTTTGACTAGAGCCTTTGTTAACTCTTTCTCATAGCTTTATTTTTTTAATATATTTTATTGATTATGCTGTTACAGTTGTCCTATTTTTTCTCCCCTTTAATCCCTTCTGACTTGTACTCCTCCTCCCACCATTATTCCCCCACTTTAGTTCATGTCCATGGTTCATACATATAAATTCTATGGCTTCTCCATTTCCCACACTATTTTTAACCTCCCCCTGTCTATTTTGTACTTACTGTTTATGCTTCTTATTTCCTGTACCTTTTCCCCCGTTCTCCCCCACTGATAACCCTCCAAGTGATCTCCATTTCTGTGATTCTATTCCTGTTCTAGTTGTTTGCTAAGCTCATCTTTGTTTTTTTTGGTTTTTTAGGTTCAGTTGTTGATAGTTGTGAGTTTGTTATCATTTTACTGTTCATATTTTTGATCCTCTTCTTTTTCTTAGATAAGCCCCTTTAACATTTCATATAATAAGGGCTTGGAGATGACAAACTCCTTTAACTTGACCTTACCTGGGAAGCACTTTATCTCCCCTTCCATTCTATCCAGCTTTGCTGGATAAAGTAATCTTGGATGTAGGTCCTTGCCTTTCATGACTTGGAATACTTCTTCCCAGCCCCTTCTTGCCTGCAAGGTTTCTTTTGAGAAATCAGCTGATAGTCTCCTAGGAACTTCTTTATAGGTAACAGTCTCCTTTTCTCTTGCTGCTTTTAAGATTCTCTTCTATCTTTAATCTAGGGTAATGTAATTATGATGTGCCTTGGTATGTGCTTCCTTGGGTCCAACTTCTTTGAGACTCTGTGAGCTTTCTGGACACCCTGGAAGTTTATTTCCTTTGTCACATTGGGGAAGCTCTCCTTCATTATTTTTTCAAATAAGTTTTCTATTTCTTGCTCTTCCTCTTCTGCTTGTGGAACCCTATGATTGGGATGTTGGAGCACTTAAAGTTGTTCCAGAGGTTCCTAAAGCTTTCTTCATTTTTTTTGAATTTTTGTTTTTTTATTCTGTTCTAGTTGAATGTCTATTTCTTCCTTCTGCTCCAAATCATTGATTTGAGGCCCAGCTTCCTTTCTGTCACTGTTGGTGCCCTGTACATTTTCTTTTATTTCACTCTTCATAGCTTTCACTTTTTCTTCTATTTTACAACCATACTCAACCATTTCTGTGAGCATCCTGATTACCAGTGTTTTGAACTCTGCATCTGATATGATGGCTATGTCTTCATGGCTTAGTTGTACTTTTTCTGGAACTTTGATCTGTTTTTTCATTTGGGATATATATATATATATATATTTTTTTTTTTTGTCTCAGTGCACTTGTTACTTAGTAAGGGGTGGGGCCTCAGCCTTTTGCCAGGGCAGGGTAACCACACATCGCTGTGTTATGGTGCTGTATGTGGGGAAGGGATCAGAGAAGGAACAGTGCCACTTGCTGAGCTCTTGGCTGACTTTAAGTCACTTCCTCTGCTACCCACAAGCAAATTGGGCCCTTCTGGTGCTGATTCCCAGGTGGGTGGGTTTGTGCATATTCTAAGATGCTTTGGTTCTCTCCAAGAAACTCTCCAGTGAGGCTGGGAGTTTCTCCCACTGCCTCAATCCCCACATGTTTTTTCAGTCAGAAGTTTTTAGGCTTTATTTCCCCATGCTGGAACCCTGTGTTGTGTGGTCTATCTTGCTCCTTAGTTGTTCCTCCTGGTTTATCCACATGCAAAGTGGGACCATCTGCTCTGCCAGCTGCTGCCTCACCCACCCTGGTCCTCCTGCTGCTGCCTTGCCTGGAGTCCTGTCTGCCCCACTGCCTGTCTCCACCCTGCCTACTGGTTTAGATGAGTGTTTCTTCTTTAACCCCGTGGTTGTTGGACTTCCATACAGTTCAATTTTCTGGTAGCTCTGGTTTTTTGTTTTTAAATTTGTTGTTGTCCTTCTCTTTGTTATGCGAGGAAGCAAAGTATATCAACCTATGCCTCCACCTTGGCTGGAAGTCTCTTATAGCTTTCTTAATCAAAATTATACTAACTTATTGAATCCCTTGTAAATCTAATCACTTCACATTTTGGCAGCTTACTCTCCTAGTAGACAGGAAACACAATGCATGAATATTTTTTCCTTTTAAAAGAAAGTTTATATTAAGGTTAGAAACCTTAGGCAAAACCAAATTAAATGTCTTACTGTTTTTTATTGCTTCAGTGTCCTGGATCAGAATGGCTCATGCATGCTTAATATAATTAATTTGACGGTTAATTTAGGCATAGGCAGCTTGGAAGCAGACAGGACCTTTACAGCTGGGTTACTTGCGTCAAGTTACATAACCAGTCTGAGCTTTATTGCCTTTCTTTGTCAAATATAGTTGTTGGGAGCAGGGAATGAGACGACACCCAGTGTAGCAGCTTATTGATCTTTTTCTCTAACCCTCCTTCCCTTGCTTTTTAAACAAGTATTTCAGTTAGAGTTCATGAGGTCCAGATGATAAAGCCACAAACACAATCCTTGTTCTCTTGTTTCTAAATAAATAAATAAATAAATAAATAAATAAATAGAAATTAACTACAAGCAAGTGATTAACCCTCCTGATTTTTAAAAAAATACATGAGTATGAATCGTCTATGTACTTTCATATTATATGTAAACAATGTGGCTTTGTGACCTAGGCACGCCACTGATTTTATAGAAAAGGACTGTGCAACTTTTAATCTGGAATTCCTCCACATTCCTTAATACTGATTACTAAATTTGGAGTTGAAGGGAGTTCTGACCATAATCACAAGAAACTCAGATACAGGAAGATGTTACTTTCCCTGATGCTTTGTTTTCTAGTTCCACTGACAGAGGATTACTCAGTAAACCCTTTGGAGGATGCTTTCCACTTGAGAGTTAGGTTTGGGCATGTCTTAGCTGTTTGTACAAACAGGCTAACCTGATGGAGGTTCACTTTTATGAAAAGATACTTCTGCCCCATCATTTTAACTGTGTTTACTTATTCAGAGACCACTTTGAATTATTACTTTTCAGACTCTTTTTTGACCATCCACAAACATAATTCAGGACATTAGGCAGATCCAAGACCTAATTCTTACCATGGACATTTACTCTGTTACTTCCCAGTCAGGTGTTATGCAGCCTTTCAGAGTATTGTCTGGAGAGCTCAAGCTGTGAAAAAGTTCTTCCTTGACTTACACCCCACAGCTTCCACCCTTGGCTCCAAATTCTCTTGGGGACATAAAAAGAAATTCTGCCCACAATTAGGAGGCTTCAAACTTCTTGAGGACAGGAACTGCATCCACTATAGCTTCTAGTAACTTGATAAATGATTGCTGGATGAAGTTAAAAGCAGGAAATGCAATTTTTTATTTTGGTATATATCTTACAGAATAGAAAATGATGAATACATTTAAGTTCTATTGAGAAGGCATCATACAAAGAAACTGATTTTATTGTTTAAATGCATTGCTGATATATTTTATTCTTTGTCTTAAAATTCAGCACTTTTACCTGTTCGTCTTATGTATTGCAGCTTACCCTCGTTACAAAATAAGACATTCAGTGACACTATAGATACTAACTGTTGGACATTACATATGTGGGACACAGTGTCTGGGACACATTGTCTGAGACACAGGCACAGAGAAGTTGAGACCCCTCTGCAGTAGGCATTAGGAATTCTGGGTTCCAGTCCCAGCCCCACGAAAACCATCTGAGTGACCTTGGCTCTTGGTTCCTCATCTGCAAATTGCAACGGTTGAATCAGATGTTCTCTTGTCCTCTCCAGTTTTACAAATCATTTGTGTTTTTGACTTTTCTGCCCCAGGTGGTAGAGTAGCTACAAAGTTAAAGAACACAGACCTCTGATTTTAGTTCATTTTTCAATTTAAATTGCCAAGAACTATCCATTGTTAAAGCGAGGGGTGTTTCCCCCACCCCTTTTCTCATTTCAGAACACTTTTCTTCAGGAAACAGTGCGCAGAGAGTGTGAAGAGCGCTTTGAATTGACAGAAGCTTTGAGTCAAGCCAGAGAACAGCTGCTGGAGCTCAGGAAGCATGGTGGAAGTTTACCATTGTCACCGTGTTTCCCCAGCCAGGGCAGCCTAACCTCCTCTGCTGCCGCAGTCAGTAATCAGGGAGAGAGAAGCACTTCGAGACTGAACTCAGAAAAAGGAATCAGAATCCCCAGCCTGCATGGAGTGTCAAAACCCACCCTTTCTCCACCATCAACTCAGCCCAAGAGGGCCAACAGCTCAGGTTTGCCCACTGTCCTCCAACCACATCCTCCCAGGGGCCGGGCCTCTTCAGTAAGTAAGACCAGGCAAAGACTGGCTGCCCTTCTGTGGAGACTGAATCATCAGTGATTGGTCCAAAGTCCGGAGCACATCCTGTCGGCACACCTGGTTGTTCCCGGAGCGCGGGAGACTCTCTATAACTGAGGATGACAGAAATCAAATTAGTATCACAGATCACGAATGCATGTTTACAGATATTCTTAACAAAAGAGTTGAAAAAGCTAGGAAATTGGGAAGCCACATTTTCAAGAGGCCTTTCAAATGGCAACAAATAATGGAATTATTGGGATTCGGCTTTCTATATTTATGGATTGTATGTTTAGATATGCTCTATAAATATACCCCTTCAGAGATCATAGGTAAAATTTTCACCCATGGCATCTTTTCTATATTTAACCAGCAGAGGTATCTCCACAAAAAATAGATTATAGTGGTTTCGTTGGTGTTTTTTCATTGGTTCGTTAAGCTGAATAGGTTAAAGAGATGTAATTAGTATTCCAAATAGACAATAAAAGTACACTAGTCTTTAACTAGATGATTTCCAGCATGCTTGGTTCAAATTTTCACAGAGTTTATCATCACCACCACCACCATCAGCGTCTTCACCATCTTCACCTCACAATGTAGTTGATTAATCTAATTTCCCTTTAGGCGAGGGCAGAAGAGACGGCAGGTGACCTTTAGGAAGGCATTCTTCCCTGGGAGGCTGGGGATCTTCTAACAAAAAGACCAGCAACTCCAATTCAAGGAACGGGTAGTTTACTTTTCCAGATGTAGAGGTTGTGTTAGAAAGCAGAAAACCTGGCCCTGAAAATATTACACTGTAGAGATTTTCTACATTGAATCTTTTTGGCACTCAGAGGTAGGTTTTGACTTGAACTTGTATTCTCAAGCCATTGAGACAGGAACTAATTTAGGAGTTTAGTAGAGACACATAGCCCTGATTTGGGGTTCCAATTTTGTTATGCCTGAAAATGGGCAATGGCTTAACATGTATTCTAATTCCAGGGTGAAACATTAAACCCGGAAACCAGACAGGCTATTTTAAGTTATCATGAAGTTTCAGGCTCTACCTGTTTCTAAAAATACCTCTTTATCTTCAGCTAGTGTTCATCTATCTTCTTCTCCATCTAAGAGAAGTGAAGTTTTCTTCTAAGACTGGCTTTACTTAAACCTTCATCTGACTGCATCATGGACATCCCAGCTTCTTACTCACCAGTTAGAGTGACACAAGACATGTGAAATATGGCAGGTAGAACTCTCTGTTACTGAGCTATTATATCAAGAAGAGAACCTAAACGTACTTGAAATCCCTCCCCTAGGCAAAAAAAAACCACAACAACAAAGTTATTAAGCAAAATTGACCAGTAGTAGATTTTTAAAAAATTTTAACCTCAGAAAAATTCCACATTACATCCACTCATTTTCCTGACTAGTATAAATGAGCACATCTTATGTTAAGGCTTAGAATGCTTATTTTTGTTTTACAGAGATTGGTGTTCTTTATAATGGCATTTGACAAGAGAACATAACATCATAGAATAATGGTGCTGGGCTAGACCTTAGAGGTCACCCTAACAACCTGTTTCCAATAAGGAACACCCCAAAGAGGTCTGCTTGTCAGGGACAGAGCTGGAACCACTGTTACCCGATCCGAACATTTCCACCTCAGCTTCCCCGGCTCCCATCATGACTTTTGTCAGAAGCACCTACATTAAATTTACCTACTATTTTCTTTAAATGCATTCACATTTTAAGAATATATTTTATGGATTATGCTGTTACAGTTGAGCCAAGTTTTCCCCCTTTCCCCCCACCACCCAGTACCCACCTTCCTTCCAGCAGTCCCCAAACCTTAGTTCATGTCTGTGGGTCACGCGTATAAATTCTATGGCTTCTTCACTTCCCACACTATTTTTAACCTCCCCCTGTCTATTTTGTATCTACTGTTTATGCTTCTTACTTCCTGTACATTTCCCCCCATTCTCCTTCCTCCCCCTTCCTACTAATGACACTCCATGTGATCTCCATTTCTGTGATTCTATTCCTGTTCTAGTTGTTTGCTTAGCTTTTCTTTGTTTTTGGTTTTTTTTAGGTTCAGTTGTTGATAGTTGTGAGTTTATTGTTACTTTAATGATCATAGTTTTTTATCACATTCTTTTCTTAGATAAATCCCCTTAACATTTCATATAATAAGGGCTTGGAGATGATGAATTCCTTTAACTTGACCTTGTCTGGGAAGCACTTTATCTGCCCTTCCATTCTAAATGATAGCTTTGCTGGATAAAGTAATCTTGGATGTAGGTCCTTGCCTTTCATGACTTGGAATACTTCTTCCCAGCCCCTTCTTGCCTGTAAGGTTTCTTTTGAGAAATCAGCTGATAGTCTCCTGGGAACTCTTTCATAGGTGACTATCTCCTTTTTTCTTGCTGCTTTTAATATTCACTTCCTATCTTTAATCTAGGGTAATGTAATTATGATGTGTCTCAGTGTGGTCCTCTTTGGGTTCAACTTGTTTGGGACTCTCTGTGCCTCCTGCACTTGTATGTCTATTTCCTTTGCCAAATTCGGGATGTTTTCTTTCATTATTTTTTCAGATGAGTTTTCTGTTTCTTGCTCTTCCTCTTCTCCTTCTGGCTCCCCTGTGATTTGGATGTTAGTACGTTTGGAGATGTCCCAAAGGCCTCTTACACTATCCTAGTTTTTATTTTTAATTCTTGTTTCTTTCATGTTGGTCTGGTTGAATGCTTATTTCTACTTTATGTTCCAAATTATTGATTTGAATCCCAGCTTCTTCTCCTTTACTATTGGTTCCCTGTAGATTTTTCTTTATTTCACTTATTATAACCTTCATTTCTCCCTTTATATTTTTTCCATCCTCAGTGAGTTCTTTGAGCATCCTGATCACCAGTGTTCTGGAACTCTGCATCTTATAGGTTGGTTGTCTCCATTTTGTTTAGTTCTTTTTCTGGGGTTTTGTTATGTTTTTTTATTTGGACCATATTTCTTTGTATCCTCAATTCAGCAGCCTCCCAGTGTTTGTTTCCGTGTTTTAGGTAGAGCTGCTTTGACTCCCTATCTTAGTAGTGTGGCCTGTGTAGAAACAGCACTTGTAAATTGTGTGTGGTGGAGCCTTAGGTAATTGCCAGGGTGCGGCAACCCACTTCATCACTTTGTGGCTCTGTGTGTCAGGAGGGCTTGGAGAGGGGACAGTGCTGCTGCCTGGCTTCTGGGGGTTTGCCCAGCTCTCACCTCATTTCCAGTCACTTCACTCAACTCCCAGTATGCATCTGGCACCCTTCCGGCTGTTGCCCTGGTGCTGAGTCCCAGAGTGGATGGATTTGTGTATGTTCTAAGATCATGAGGGCCCTTTAAGTGGAGTCTCCAGAAAATCTGGCAGTTTCTTCCACTGCCCCAACCCCCACTGGTTTTTACAGCCAGAATTTATGGGGATTTATCTTCCTGGTACTGGAAACCTGGGCTGTGCTGTCTGGCCTGGGGCTGGGATTGCTCACTCCTAAGGTATCCCTCTTGATTTTTATCTACCACATGTGAAAGTGGGACCACCCATTCCACCGTTGCTGCTGCTTCTTGTGCTTCACCGACTCTCCTCACCTCTTCACCCATCTTGCATCTCTGCCCCCTTACCCATCTGGATGAATATGGTTACTTTAAATCCTTGGTTGCTGGACTCCCATACAGTTCAATTTCCTGATAGTTCTGGGTGTTATTTGTTTTGAGGTTTAGTTGTAATTATCTCTGTGGTTGCACAACGAGGCAAAGCATGTCTACCTATGCCTCCATCTTGACTGGAAGTTGCATTCATATTTTTAACTTAAAGTTATGTCAAAAAGAAACCCAAGGAAGAATGTCTTTAAAATAATGAGGTTGATTTTCTAGTTATATTTTCCCTAATATGCTTAAAATAAATGTGTATATATTAAAATACTAAATGTTAATATACTTTTAAAATTACCTTGTATAATGTGAGCAGTAATCATGTCAATTCTGGAGACCACTGCACTAAACCTCAATGTTTCTGACCTGGTGTTTGTATGTTTAAATTACAGCTACTCATCACATGAGGGAGAAGACAAAAGCTGGTGAAAGCTTTAGCAAAAGCATAAGAGAATATTTGGGGCAACAGTCTTCGTTATCCAATTATATGGGATTTTCCAGTTTTCAATCATAGCTCTCTTTTCAGGAACCATAAGGATACATTTTTCCTAAATTTTTAACATATTTACATTTGTAAAGGAGGTCACACTTAAGCTTTTCTAAAGTGATGTGAAGAGTATCACTGTGAAACCTGGTTTGTTTGTTGTTACTTTCTTGCTTTCACCACGAGTAATTCTGTAAATAATCATTGAGAGAATACAGTTGTGATTGCAATAATACTGTGTTGTATTTCACGAGTATATCAGAGAGGTAATTCCATAGATAAACAGAGAGACAAGATTTACCTGCATTTCATCCTAGACAATTTGAATGGCACAGCCTGAGCTGTGTGTATATCTTAAAAAAAAAAAAAAAAAAAAAAAGAGAAGAGCGTTAGAGTAAGTAACCTGGGAGTTAACACATTCAAATTTTCCTTGATTTTCTCATCATGATAAACAAACTCCTGGCATGAAACAGTATCAGCCATGTCAAGAAAGTAGTGATTATGGCAAAATAAAGTTCTCAAATACATATAATGGATATTAAGTCTAATAGTTTTAATTTCTCTATAGACATATGTTTTCAATGACCTCAGTGGGAGGATGTATAGGTCAAAAGCAAAGAATGTCATAGAAAATATTTCTTAGAGAATTCTTAGAGAATTAAAACTCTATTTGTTTTTCTTCTTAAACTAATATTGGTGGACAAAGATGGGAGAGTCCTGTATTTAACAGGTTTCTCAAGGAATTTTTTAAAGTCTTGAATATAGACTTACTATATTTATAGTTAGAGCTGCTTTAAAGTTATTTCTCCAGGCAATGGAATTGACTGGAAGAGACAGTAATCTTAAAAATTATGTAAGATTAAGATTATTTTTGTACTTTTCAGTGTTCTGAGATGTCTTTTTTGTTAATTCCATTATTTTTTACGCAGTTCAATTTAAAGCGGTTTACTAAGACTGAGCTGTGAAAGCTGTGTATCTCCTGCAATTCTATTTTTCAGTCATTACCGAGCACTAGTGCCACTCTGAAGAGAAGTGGGTGGAAGAAATCAGAAGTCTTTTGACAGTAAATAAAATTATATGCCAAGATTGAAAAGAAAGTACAGTAGTTTATACATCTTGGGAGCAAAGCCGGTGAATGATTAGCTTGCTACTCAGAAGACATAAAACCATATTCAGATTCATAGGTTCCCATACCACCACTATCTACTCTTCTGTTTTTTCACTGTGCAAGTAGCTTTTCATTACTTAAATTTTATTTTTTCAATTGCAGTTTACTTTCAGTATTACTTATATTAGTTTCCAGTGTACAGCACGGTGGTTAGACAATCGTATACTTTACAAAGTGATCCCTCCAAAATTTCCAGTACTCACTAGGCACCATAAGTAGTAATTACAATATTATTAACTGTACTCCCTATGCTGTACTTTACATGCACGTGACTATTCTATAGCAACCAGTCTGTACCTTTTTAATTCCTTTACCTTTTTCACAAAGCCCTGCAACCCCTCTCCCGTCTGGCAACCATCACAGACTAAGATCTTTTAATGTTCCATTAGTCCCCAAAGTTTTTGTAATATCACAGTTAAATTCCAGCTAATTTCTTTGATTATGGAACAAGTTTTCTCAAGGTTCAGTGTTACAGGTCTTCTGATTATTACAATTCTGCTCTGGTAGGACAGCCTGGTGCCCTCATAAAGCGGTCAATGCGCTGCGGGCGGGAGCCCCCGGTCGGCGCGCTCTGTCCTGCAGGGCTCAGGGAGTCAGTCCGGCAGGTGCTCATGCTTCGCAGACCCTGTGATGGCTTAGTGATTATGGATTTGTAAAACCTTTCCACTTTCATGTTTTAAGAAAATAATTACCATACACTGTACCTTGCACAGGACACTTTTAGTAGTCCCCGTAGCACAAGAGACTACAGCAGGATAATTCCTGAAGTGGCGTCTGTGTTTTATCTTAAGGAAGAAATTCTACTTTTCCTTTTGAAATATTAGCACTGCATAGTAATAAGTTGTAAAGCCAATGTAATTGTGTTTAATCGTTAGAATCTTAGGTATGGATATATCATGTTTGTATATTCTGAACTCACATAAAAATTTTCTTAATAGCACAGTAGTTGAATCGAAACATACTTATTCTATGACAATATTTACATGATCCAGAAGGTCAAAATATTTCTCTCTTCTCTAGCACTTCTACAGCACAGTGCATTATTCATTCAGTAAGTAAAATAATTTTTCCTAGATATCTCTAACTCCCCCTAAAATACATGTATATAGAAAGAATACTAGATCACAGAGATTAAGTATTTTTCCCCAAATAAATACTAGATAAGACTGATAAATAAATCTTAAATTTCTGGAGTTGCTAAACATTTAACCTGTAGATTGATACTGAAGCTGCATTATCCATTCACTCACTTCTTCAACAGGCATGGAAATTTAAAAAGCACTGTGAGAGCTACCAAGATAATTAAAACATATTACAGATGCTTAAGAACTGTGTAGTAGATGGCAGTGAAGAAGGATATGAAGAAATTATAATATAGGAAGTCAGTGTTCAGTAGAGAAGAGAATTGGAAGCAGGGTGTTATATGAGTTCATCTTCTTGCTAGATGGGTCAAGGA